ACTGGCAGTGGCTCTCCAGGGTCTCTGGCAGAGGCTTTTCACATCTTCTGCTGCCTGATCCCATTTAACTGGTGATGCTGGGAATCAAACCTGGGACCTTCTGCATGCAAAGCAGAGGTTCTTCTGCTGAGCCACAGTCCCTCCCTAACAGCAACATAAAGACTAACATCAGATGTACTCAAGAACCAAACTACAGGAGGAGAGTTAACACATGCTGGCCAATACTGCCAGAACAGAGTCAGATTATCTAGAGATGACTTCCATTCAATACTACTCACAGGGAAGGGGGCAAGCTGAGTTTTGTAAGCTGTAGAATTGTCAGTGGAGGAACAGGTGTTGTCTTACTATTAGGTGTTTAAGCACTCTTGGATGTTAGTCCCTATAAATGGACAGGTGTTATTTCAGACATAAAGGCATAAGCCTAGATAACACTACTTGTGACCCACCAAGACAAATGTAGCTTCCCCCCAATCCATTTGACAGGTTACCAGGACCTCTACAGTTCTCTGGGTTTTGTTGCCTGACAATGACTGCAAAGAAAGAAAAAGGGCTGTCGTCAAACACTGGAAGGACTCTCGTCATCTTGCTAGGCACCAAGATATAAAAGGAGAAGGCTGCACACCAGTCACAGCAACCTCAGCACCAGCTCACTGTTGGCTTATTTGTTTCAACCATATTGGAACTACCTACCAAGCTGGGAGAGGCCAGCTAATGGAAACATTAATCAGAAGCTCATTTTCCTGAACATGACAAATGCTACACTTAGTGTACATGCTGTGCTTATTTCCTTAACATAATGTAAGAGTCTCCAAAATAAATCTTTATATGGACAGTGATGCTGAGAAAAAAAATGGATTTGGGGCTTTTATTTGCCTCATTGCTACTGATTCTCTAGCCTTTTTACTCTCGTGATTTTGTAATTGCCACCACCACAAAAAATTGTTTTATGTATAAAACTAAAAGCACATGTTTGTTTTCCCCCCCAGCGGAATCCCCACCACCACTTGCCTTGTATGTACTGCATTCAATCGCTCAGGTGCCCAAGCTGGATTAGTCCGTGGCATAATGGGCATCCAGATAAAGGATAAACCGGAGGACATCTTGTAAACAATAAAACCCATTCTTACCTGGTGAATTTCTGTTCTCTCTGTAGACAGTATGACATTCAAAGAAAAAACAAGCCCCGCCTCCGGGACTGAAGAAAGGAAAAAGGAGAAGCCACAATAAGACTGCAATAGAAAATAGTATATACCAATGTGACCATATTACTATTTTCTACTGCCTCTGGGACCAGCAGAAAAAGGGCTTATGAAGCCTTTTCCTGTAAGGTGGAAACTTCCAGTGAGTGAAAAACTAAAATAAAATAAAACCTCAAGTGGCTTAACTGCCATACAAACCAAACTACTATGTGGAAAGGACAACAGATAATGGGGATGAGGTAGGAGAGAAGCAGGCCTTAATGCTAAAATTCCCAAGAAGAGGCTTCGAGATAAAGCTTAGGGTGGCCTTTCCTGTGAGAGCAACAAAAATTCACCAGTTGACAAGTTGGGACAGTCTGTGATGTGAAGAAGTAACAAAGTGAGGGGAAATGGACCCCCTCATGCCCAAGTACCAGGCCCCTTTCACTTGGGAAATCTCCAGAGAAACCCATACACAATGACAGCTTTGGACAAAACATGGTGATCAATCGTGTGATGTTTCAAAAAAGTGTGCACCAAGACCAGTGTGACTGTTTTGCGTCTCTCTTCAAGTGAAGCTCTGCACTGCTACTGAATGTGCCAGATTCTTTCTGAAACCTATAAACAGGAAGAAGAGACAGCGAGGGCAATGCAGTCTCTCAAATAGGAGGGGATAACAGAAAAAATAATTCTGGAGAGGAGGCCTGAAAGAGAGGGGGCGTTATGTTTCTGGCAAGGTCTATTATGGCCACAATAAAGCTTAAGAGCAAGACTGACCAGCACTTAGGTATGGAAGGGTGTGGGCAAAACTGTGGTAAGATCAGCACCCAAGCTCTGTGGAAAAGCAAATTTTTAGTAATAGAGAAGTAATCAGGCCTACAGATAACCCTGTCACCAAGCTCCTGTTCCACAGGGAAGGCTGACAGAAGTGGTCAAATGGTGGCATGAAACGACTTCAGCAGCATCGCTTCCTACCCAAGGCTGGAACAGCAGGGATACTCGCAGGGGTTCAGACAGCTGGAGTCAGCAGCTTGACCCAATGAGAGCCAGCCTAGTGTAGAGGCTGAAGTGTGCGACTAGGATCCGGGAGTTCCAGGGTCGAGTCCCCAGCCTGCCACGGAAGCCCACTGGGTGACCTCGAGTCACATGTGCTCAGCCTAGCCTACCTCCCAGGGTCGGCGCGAGGATAAAACGGAGGAGAGAATGGCGTAACCTACCTTGGGTCCCCATTGGGGAGAAAGGCCGGATAGGAATAAAGTAAATAAAATGTGAAACGGGTTGAAGGGAGGCAGGCAACAGGGATACCAGATGAGGAGCTCCTTTGAGGCACAGCTAGTCAAAGGCTGCCATATCTTGGCTCCTGCCTAACAAGGGGGAGGGGTAAAGGAATGCAGGGTCTCTAAGCGGCACAAGCCTTGAAGCAAACCTCTGCGTTATGGTCTCCCAATCAAGGCTCTTTTTGTAGCAGGAACTCCTTTGCATATTAGGCCACACCCCCTAATGTAGCCAATCCTCCAAGAGCTTACAGAGCTCTTCTTACAGGAGCTACTGTAAGCTCTTGGAGGATTGGCTACATTAGGGGCGTGTCGCTTAATATGCTAATGAGTACCTGCTACAAAAAGAGCCCTAACTCCCTCCAATGATTTAGCATGAACAGAGTGAATCACAGGGAGACTGGAAATGCTAAAGCCTCTTTTGGTTTTGTGGCTTTATTAAGGAACCCCCGCCCCCCAATCCTTGGTGGAGCCTATGAGAAGCTCTATCAGGCAGGAAGACAGGCTGGGACTTAGTGGGAAGTTTCTACCTCACAGAAAGAAGCTTTCTAGCCCTTACCCTCCCCCCCCCGGCCTAAATGCAAAACATAATATTTGAATATCCTCCTACCTGCAAAGAGAGAATTTAGAAGCTATTCTTTAAGGTGCACGCTGCCTAGAGAACTCTTATTCAGATGCCACGCTTGAAAATCCAGTGGTGTTCCCTCCCTCCAGTGGACAGAAAAGATCTTTTGGTAAGCACAGCATATACAGGAATGAGCAGCGGTCCTCACCACTTTAGCAGCAATTACTGCAAATATGCAAAGATAGATTTTTACAGAACTGTGATCCTGGTTACAAGTGTTGGTGGATTTGGAGCCTATTCGGAAGACATCAAGCTGGCTGCCTCATGTAAGCAATCGCTCACCTAAGCAGGCTGTTTTGGGAGCAGGTTAAAAATCAGAGGAGAGGTCTTTCACGTGACCATCACTCCTGTTCTGCAACTTGACCTGGATAGCCCAGGCCAGTCCGATCTTGTCAGCTCTCAGAAGCTAAGTAAAGTCGGCCTTGGCTAGTACTTGGAAGGGTGATCTCCAAGGAATACCAGGGTCATGACACAGAGGCAGGCAACGGCAAACCACCTCTGAAACGTCTTGCCTTGAAAACAAGTCCAGCCCATCACCTAGTGGTGTATAACGCTAAAAGAGTCGCTGCCAGACAATCTTAGGATCTCCTGGCTATTCTACACACAATGCCATCCGATAATTATTATTATGCAACTTGAAACTCTGAATATGATCTTGGGTGCAGAGGAAGTACGATCTCATGGCAAGATCACTCCTCTGATGTTAACACTGCTCTTGCAAGCTGAACACTTATTTTAATTGTCTAAACCCAGCTCTTAAATATAAAGGGGTTAACTGTCAAGCCCAAACTAGTATTACATATGAGAACGGACCTTCATGGAAGACAATATCAACAATTCCTCTGTTCCTCCTGTGAAGGTCAAATGGACCAAATGTTTGGTGAATACGAAGGACCGATAAGCAAAGGAATTCTAGTGCATAATATCTGGACCTTCACGGAAGACAATATCAACAATTCCTCTGTTGCTCCTGTGAAGGTCAGGTGGACCAAACGTTTGGTGAATACGAAGGACCAATAAGCAAAGGAATTCTAGTGCATAATATCAGCGGCTCCAAGATCAACGTGCAGACAACTGTATGTGGAAGTGCTTCCCTATTTACTTCAACGGAAGCAGCAACTCAACGTGAGACAAAATTTCACACGAAGATTTTCTAGTACCACAGAAGCCAATGGAGAAACCAGAGGCCCCAGAATTCTGGATAGGGGTCTACATCTATAAGGGCTCATTGAGTTCAGCCATGCTGATGAAATTTCTACCGGGTTTCTCATTGTTTACCAGTCAAGGTCACAATTCAACACAGATGAAGCCAGGTGAAATCAGTGTGTTGGAGCCTACAAATGGGGAGAGTTTGCAGAAGAGATCTGCTGTCTTCTCTCAACACAACCCCCAGCACACACTCACACAGCTGCTTTTGAAGGCTGGGAGTCTCTCAGGAACAGCATGGGAGGATACATGCAGTACTGCAACTAAGAGTGACTTGGCAGAAGCCACTCCATTCATGGTAGGTTTGGATCGAACCCAATGACTTAAGCAGCAACACTGTGTTGGATCACGGTCTACCTCTTTAAAATAAAAAAATGTGCTCAAAACATGCATGTTTTAAATATATCATAGAATGTTTACCGATTTTAAAATTGCTTTACAGTCTTTTCCTCCCCCCTCTGCCAGGAAAAGCAGATCATTAACAGTAGAAACGTTTAAAACCCTTATACTATTTAAAAAATCCAGGCAATTCCCCCCCTCCCGCCACCCGGGTAAAGAACAACTAGGATGGTCCAGTAAAAAAAGGTCCCACTGTTTTCAGCAAGAGAGAGTTATGCATACCCTTAATTCTCTGCTCTGGAAATAACTGGGATTTAGAAATGCCTGACTTTAGTTGGTTTGTGTCCAAAAATCCACAGATAAAAGCAAAGTCGTGGAAGAACTGTATTTTGTGACATGCAAGGAGAGCCTAGACAAACGTCGACTCAAAATACGTTTCTAGAACATTCTGGCCACCACAGCAACAAAGGATAGGCAACCTGCAAATGAAGATCCTGCTAACGAATGGGAAACACCGAACAAATACACAATCCACATATTTGATTAATGACAATAATGTGAAACTTGTATTTAAACAATTAAAAGAAAAACGGTATTCTTGCAGAGGGGTAAACTTGTTATTAATACAAATATTAAGCAGGGTGCATTTGTTGACTATTCACATTATTGCTCTGCTACATGATGAATAGGCCCTTAACATATGTGATAGCTCAAGTATGTTAAACTCAAAAGGAACACATTTTGAGAAATAACATCATTATGTAGGCTTTAAACATAATACATGAAGATATGCACAGCCAAGAAAGATGACCAAAAACTAAAAACTGGCCTGACCAAAGCATACTATCACATACCCATATTTTTAAAATGTTTTGTGCAAAAATAAAAGGCTAACCTGTAAACTTAAAGGAAGAAGTCAGGATGTCGTGTTTACCCAATACATTCTGTAAGCAATTAGTCAAATAACCCATTTTTTATTTATACATCTGGCAGACAGATGTAAAAAGTCAAGACACAACTTCTGGCACAACGCTCCCAATGTTTTACATATAAAGGTCCCAACCCAAGGGAGAGTTTAAAAATAAAAAATTAGAAAGTTAGTTACACTTTTCAGTCCCATTGAAACTACCACATTGCTTTCACTAGGGATTGAGAGCCTCTGACTTTCAACAGATTGGGGTCAAACACTAACATTTAAAAACCTCATTCCAAAGTAAATCTTTTAACAAATATATGTCTAACAATCTTGCATTCTTGTGTACTATTAGCTGTGGTAAACAATAAAAACAATGGCGTTAGCCACAACTGCAGTTGCCATGTTCCTGTTGCGGGCAAGGGCTCTCCGGTCCCCATTGCTGCTCAGCTGGATGGCAGGGAAAAAAATGGTTTTTGTTTTTTTTTTACCACCAGCATTTTAACACACTGATGTCACTTCCAGCAGAACCAGATATTACATCTGTGTGATACCAGTGACGCTCTAGCATTCAGTCAAAACTCAATGGTTAAGCGATTGAATTTTGGTCGAATGCCAGAGCGTCGCCGATAACATCATTATGAACCCTCCCTCCCACCCAACAATGAGTCTCTTGCCAGTTGCCAACTTTGTGCCGGCATCCCGATTCACAATAGGCACAGCATTCTCCCTCTCAGCCACCGCAGATACAGCCTTGGTCTATTTCTTTTAAACCTGTACTTAAAAGGTTAAGAGCCCGTTCCCCCCTGATCTCTTAGCAAAAGTTAAGAGACTGATCGGCATTACATCTGCCACCGCCTGCTATGAAATACTAATGATATTTTTTTTTTAATGATCCTGAGCAGTATTAACCATTGGACACACAGAAATCTATCACCCATCCTTCTAGTGGAACAACAGTGATCCAATTTCAAGTTTCTTGGAGGAGGAACAATCTTCAGAGCTGACAGGATTTTCTTCATGGAATGGAGAAGTGATGTTTGGATATCAACCAGTGCTGCCGCTGATCACCTCACAGGTGGTTGCTCGATGTTCCAGAATGGAGAAGGGAAAACTGATATGTACAGATATGCCACTGGCAAAACATGGAAATATCAAAGACTAGATGCAGGTGCATAGGTCAGAGTGATTGCTAACTCTCACAACTTACAGATGTGTATCTTGGGGTTAAAATACCTTCTCACTTATAGCTATTTTTGGTTGTGTATTTATAGCTATATATGTGTGTGTGTATACACACACACACTCAAAAACACATACACACATATATGTCTATACAAAGACTCTGAAAATCAGGATACATGGACAACAGAAGAGGGACAGATAATAACTTAAATATCTATGACATTGCATGAAATGATTTCTGCAATATTTGACAAAATGCACTTTGAACATGCTGTTATTTAAAAAAAATAACAAATAATGAAAAACACCACAAGATTCTGTAGAACCCACGCTTGTATCACCACCAGTAGAGCACCAAGCAAGGCACCATTGGAAAGACAACATACTTGGGAAAGTCTCTATTGTAAAGCAAATGCTAATCTGGTCGGAAAATTGGTGTCTTTGGTAAAAATTCTATAAGGATGACCTGTGTGGGGAAAAAAAGAAAACATAAATACATTTAATGAATTACTGTTGATTAACTTTTAAATAACTCAGCAACTTCTGTTCAGTTTCTGGTGTAATGAAGGGATACTTCTGGCTGGGATCCCAAAAGCTACTTAAGGCATGAGGCATGTTAAGGGTCTTGTTTTATTTTTTTAAAAAACACTTTAATTTTGAATTATGGAGTCCCCCAAAACTAGTCCTCACACTCGCTTTTCTGACAGAGGTAGCATAATTACCAGCACTTCACACTCTTCATTATTGGTTGATAAATGTTCAAAAACGTTAGTTTTTCCTGTTACATAATAGACTTTTGAGGCTACTTGATCCTTATCTCTTGTTGTTGCTTGTTTAATGTTTTTGACGTTCATTGTTGTTAATGATTATTTTAAAAGGAATTAAAAAAAGAAGTTTATCCCACCTGGACAAACTGGCTTGCTTAGGAACATTGGCAGGATGGCCAGAGGTGACGGCCCCACCCCACCCTGAAACACCACATGGCAAACCTTTTCTGAAACAGAGTAAAATCCCAGAAGTTGCCTGTGGTGTGACACAGCAGCTTATTATTGCTGTGTGTGTGTGTGTGTGTGAAAATGACCAGACAAATCTAAAAGCCTTTAGGTATCCCATAAATAACTATGGCCTGCATCCAAAAGCTAGACATATGAGTTGAAATAGTGTTATCAATGGAGAGGAACAGCTTCAAGATTAACTCAATCGGAACAAGAACAACTTAATCAGAAACAAACCAAACTTACAATTGCAACAGTGTTTTCCATTTCCCTAACTACTCTCTTACTCAGGTATTCAACAGCTGCAAGCTTTGCAGGAATACACTACTTTCCTAAGAAAAACTTATTCCAAGTGTATTCAACAAACAGAAGGGATTGTTGCCCCTTGGATTTATTTTAATGGAAAGGGGGGAACGGTCAGTAGGACAACTTATTCGACTACCTACAGACTAATTCATATTCCAAAGCGCTGGGGGTCAGGAGAGAAGAGTTCAGTTACAAATGTACATTCATAGATAAGTCTTACAGACTTTTGTCCACACAAAATTTGAAAAACTATGCATTAGTGAAAGACATCCTCAGGGATTCAAGCTGAACCGGAGTAACTGCATCAGGACAAGAGGACTGTCTTCCTGAGACCAGAACAACTGGAGAAGTTAAAGATACACTTATTCCATGTTCCTCAGAGACATGTGGAAAATCAGAAACACCGACAGTTACACTTTGTGACAACAATCCTCCTACAAATATGTTGTGTGACTAAAATGTTCTACTGTCTTCTGAGGTATTGTGATGGGTTACTAAATAATTAGCTCTGAAGCGACAAACATTTCAACTTTTGCCGATACGACAGTCCTTGAATTCTGTATTTGAGAGTCACCTGTAGGAGAAATGTATGATCAAGTATACAACACGGGCAGTAACTCGAGACCATGTCTATCCCTGGTGGAACCAAGGATTCAAAACCAAATCTGATGGATGTCTGCTCAGAAGTAAATCCCACTGAACACACTTTGGATTTTCTCTCCAAGTATGCACAGTGAGTGTATAGTCAGATATCACACACACTGAGTTGGATCTGGCCCATAGCTACAGTGGGGCTACTGGGGGCTCTGCCCCCTTCCTTAAAGGGCCAGCCCCACAAGACTTTTTAGAAGAGGGGGGCACAAGCATGGCCCCCCCTGCTTCTTCTCAAAAGCATTTAAAGGGAAACTTTAAATGCTTTTGAGACGAAGCGGAGGATGGCACGCACCCCTCTCCCTCCCTCCTGCAAGACTTAAAGGACCCCTCCAGCCGATCAGCGGGCCACGTGCTCCCCACCAATCAGCTTAAGGGCCCTTTAAATCTTGCAGGAGGGGAGGGAGAGGGGTGGCTGCTGGCTGTCAGGCTTGGGGGTGGATTGGAGCTGACATAAAAATAATGGCAGCCCCACCAGAAAACGTTTTGCCCCACAAGCCACAGAATCCTGGCTACGGACCTGAGCTGGATCGAACCAGCTTTTCTGTAGTGGAAAGGGAAGAATGCGCATCCTCTGACTATCCAAAAAGGCTAGGCCATGGATCATGGCACTTGCACGGACTGTAGTCAGGAGAACGAGGTGAGATGAAGCGAAAAGGCTGGCTGGATCCAGCCCATTAGGCTGAATCCAAAAGTTATTTTCCCTCTTACAAGGAGTATTTCCCGGCTCTGGCTGAAGCCCACTGAGTTCCTGAAATGCTGCTCCCAGGGGACCTGCAGGGCACCGTCTGCAAGCAGGGAACTGGGAGTCTGCAACAAGAGGGGCAATCAGCGCAAGCTGCCTTCCCCTCCACTGGCAGAAAACAATGTTCAGATTCAAACCATGAATGTTATGGCTCAGTCTAATTGTTTTATCACCTCCTCACTACTCACAAAGCAACAAATGCTTTCTGAAGTGATCATCAAATTTAAATAGAAATTTTAAGAATGCAACAGTGGGCTTAGAGGGGCTGAGCTTACATTTTCTGCACTGAAGCCGTTTATTGAAAGGTGCTAATTCTAAGAAGAACAAATTAATCTCACTTGTGGCCTTTCAGTTCCATGTGCATTTTCAGAAGCCCTGATGTATTCAGTAATTGAAATCTTTACGTGGGCCAACCTCAAAAAAAAACCTGTGTCAGATTTCCTTTCTTGTCTCCAATTACTGCAAAGTTATCATGTGGTCTCTGATCATAAATTAACATGTTCACTATAATAGACGATCATAAATTAACATGTTCAGTACAATAGATGTTAAAAAGAAACAGTTTGTTGAATAGAGCTTCTTG